AAGCAATTTATGCCAAATTTAGTCATTTTAAGGGTACTTGACAGTGACGAAGAGTTGTAAAGAATGGTTCAACAGGGAACCAGCAGTTAGCGTGATGGCTATGCCGCTGGACTCCCATGTAGTCGACCACGGTTTGTGTCCCGGACCCGGTGGCTTAGAACTCACGCCGGGCGCATGTGCGTGCATGCACAGGATCCCAAGAGGAGAATGGAGAAGGGATTGCGGCGTGACCGTCCCCCCTGGGGGGTGATTTCTCACTTTCTGTCTCTAATGTCTCTGTCTGGCGAGCACACGCGCCCTATAGCGAAAAATCTCTCAAAAAAAAAAAAAAAAAAAAAGGTTCAACAAAAAAAGCTGGCCCAGCAATGAACACAGAAAACCTAGTTCTGATCCCAGTAACTATCCTGTGACCATTGCTTTCTTCAGGACACAGAACTTGCAGGACTCTTCCCATCCCTTGGACAGTCCCTGTATGTAAGGGTTGTGACTTTGGGGTGAAGTAACTATTTTTTTTAAGAGAGATTTTTGCTAGAGGGTCTATGTACTTACTGGAAAGACAAAAGAAAGCAAGAAATTACTCCCAAAGCAAGGGGAGGTGGTCATGCCAGTCCTCCATTCTCCTCTCAGAATTTTGGGCACACATGCACCTGGCATAAGTCTCAAACCTTCAGGTCCAGGACTCGAACTGTGGCCATTTGAAAGTCCAGGAACATAACCATTATGCCATTTGTCCCAAAGTCACTTCTTTTAAGTCTCAACTTTGTCGTCTATAATACAGTGATAATTATCACCTCAAGGAGCAGCTGGAAGACTAAATAAGGACAGGAAAGCCCTTAGCCAAGTCCCTGGCATACAACAGATGCTCAATTAAAAACAAGTGGCTTTTATTTGAACTGCAGGCAAACACACTGGGAATTTTTTTACTCATGGTTGAAAGGAGTGGAACTTCATCTACCCTTAATTCTTCCTTCTCATCCCGAAGTTTCCAGATGCATTTAATGTTCAGTATCAATTACAGTCTTTTTTTTTTTTTGGAGGTTTTTCTCTATAAGGGCACGTGCGTTCGCCAGACAGAGAGACATAGAGACAGAAAGCGAGAAATCACCCCCCAGAGGGGATGGTCACACCACAATCCCTTCTCCTCCATTCTCCTCTCGCGATCTTGGGCACGCATGCACACACGCCCGGTATGAGTTTTAAGCCACCAGGTCCAAGACGCAAACCGTGGTCAACTACGTGGGAGTCCAGCGACATAGCCATTATGCTAAATGCTGGTTCCCCAATTATAGTTTTTTAAGGAGATTTTTACTGTTTGTTTTCTATAGGGTGTGTGTGTGCTTGTCAGAGAAACAGAAAGCAAGAAATCACCCCCCAGGTGGGATGGCCACACTGCAATCCCTGCTCCTCTGTTCTCTCGGGATTTTGGACACACATGCACATGCATCCCATGTTTTAAGCCACCAGGTCCAGGACTCAAACCATAGTTGACTACGTGGGAGCCCAAGTCCAGCAACAAAACCATTACACCATCTGCTGGTCCCACCAATTAGATTTTTTAAAAGATTTATTTTTTTTTAATTTGCTATAGGGCATGTGCACTCACCAGAAAGAGAAAGTAAGGCAACAGGTCCAGGACTTAAAACAGGTGTTGGTCATGTGGAAGTCCAGAGCGTTAACTACCATGCTTCTGCTGGACCCCAATTTCATTAAAAAAAAAAAAAATTATTTATTTGACCAGAGAAGGACAGAATGAACATAAGAGGGAAAGTGAGAATGCAAGCCACCGGGTCTGGGACTTGAACTGCAGAAGGCCATGTGGAAATTCAGAGCTCTTAACCATCATGCCACCTGCTAGTCCCAATTTCATTTAGGTTGCATATAAATATTTATTTTGGTACACATTATTCCAATGGGCAGGTGCCCATTTATAGCCTTTTTGTGACCATAAGGCATATTATCAAACAGCCTTTCTATTTCAGCCAATGCTGTACTTAGTCATATCTGATCTTGAATTACTTTTATTTTGTTCTTTGCCAGAGGGTGTACAGGGCTTGCTGGAGAGACAGAGAGAGGGAAAGAAACAGAAAGACCCCCCACCCCAGGAGAATGATCCTTTCTCCTCCATCTCTTCCCTCCTTTCAGGATTTTGGACACACACGCACATGCACCCAAAGTTTTTCAAGCCATCACATACAGGACTGAACTGCCCAGCCATGTGGGATCCAGCTGCATTAACCACTTCACTGTGAGCTGGTACAACTGACTTTTTGAACATTCTGTTAACTTCTGATGATATGAAAAGACTGCTTAAACTAATTCCCAACTGAGCAGGTGTGTGTGTGTGTGTGTGTGTGTGTGTGTGTGTGTAATCTTCTCACCTCACAACAGAAGGAAATGATCCTGTTAATTTATGATGGTAAAAGATTCAGATTGACTCACACAGGCACACCAATCTCTGCAAATGAACAGATTTTGGAATGCAGGAGAAAGAGTAGAATATACAAGCTGAAAGCAAACAATTCCCCTTTATAACAGTGGATTCCTTTTCTTTACTGAACATCAACCACAGACATCACAACTTGCAGTATACAAATGGCCCCAGTCTTTAAACAGTTAATGGCTTGCCTATTGATAGGAACAAGACTAAATCTGCAACAGCAAAAAAAAAAAAATCCCTGAACTCAAGAAAAACTTTATAATGCAATCCCAAATTAGGGAGATTAAATAGCTAAGAGGTTTATGTAGCACTATAGAAGTAAATTTAAAGTTGCCTGTGAGTAGCCATGTACAATAGAGTATTTAGTTAACGAAGTTAGATTTATAAAATATACTCACTTTTTTAAAAGGTAAAATTGGCAGCAACCTGCAATAATTCAGATTTATTACTAAGGACAACTGCCAATGCTTTTCTCTGTAACAGTAATGCTGAAAACAACCCAGAGTCCAATCAGCTTTTATCCGGCATATGGAAGAAAGAATCCTAGGACAACAGTGTTTTCAAAAATGTATAAACGAAAGGTAAGAGTTTAAAGGGGTCATTAAGTTAGTGACAAGAACATGAAAGATAAAATCTCTCCTATCTTCACAGCCATCATATTCTCTGGTAATTCAACCCTATTTACACCAGCTGGTCCTTCAGATACTAGGATGCTTCCCCCTCCCCCCAAAGTTCTCATCACAAAGAATACACATTGGAAGCTTGGAGGAGGAAAATCAAATTCGCTTTTCCCCTTTAGTATATATAACTGAAAACAAATTTTCCTGTGTGGAAATGAACATGCTTTTGTAATGAGTAATATTAGCAACAGGGCTTTCAATAAATTGAAACTATATGGAATCTGCCAGACAGAGAACTAAAACTGGGATTTACAGTCAGTCTTTTAAAATGCCATTTCTATTTAGTTTTATTAGTACTGAGTGCTAACATATCTGAGTTATGCTGAGTTTTAGCTTGTAGGACATTCCAATTATTACACTTAAATCATTTTATTGTAAAAAAAAATGAGTTCAAATCTCATGTTATGATTCATGAATTTCATCTAGCACAGGAAGATACATTCCTGATTCAGACTGAAAATAAATCATGTCAGTTAAATGGACTTTCTTTAACTCACTGAGACACCTGCAACTGAAAACAAAAGTTCCCACTGTACCTACCCTTACTAATGTGCAGAGATTTATGTGCTTCATTATTTTTTCCATTCAAATTGGCTTAGAAAATGAAATGTTTCTCCAATAGAAGGTACATAATTTACATCCTATAGAAATGACACATTACCAATAATTTACACTTTAAAAAAACTCAGCCACAAAAAAGTCAAAGCTAAAAACAAGATTTTTACTATGAACCAGTGCTTCTATCACCCTTCTCAAAGAAGTTATATTTTAATGTGATGTAAAGGCAACATTGAAAAGTTCTTTAAATTAACCACCTAATTTATCCCTAAAATTACAAAGAATCAAAGTCTTTTACAGGTCAAGTGCAGTAAACTAAAATGTTCTCTCAGCACAAAGCAGCACTAGAAAAAGTAACAGTTATAGATGGGAGTTGACTAGTTTTGCGGTGGCTGCTCCATCAGTAACAGACAGACATCAGACGGTTTCCATCCCAGAGCACAGACACAACTAAAGACTAGATGCGAAGAATGTGTCACACTCTTGGCTGATAAATGTCTTTTGTCTTTGAATCTTTCTAGTTTGAATTAAGTGGATTTTTTAAAAGTTTAAGTCAGGTCACATAACGACTGCTTAAATAACACCATGATGAGGTATGAGAGCTCTGAGTATCCC